AAAACCCGATAAACACCGTTTTCGTAGGAAAACATGCAGGTTGTAGGGATTGGTGAGTTGGGCTACTTAAACTACTGTTGCCCAAATGTATTCTGGAAAAATGACCTTTTGAGATTATTGTTGCTTCGGTGCAACGAAACTTGCTTTCGATTAGGCAGGCGTTAAATAAATTGAGTTATGTGGCCTGAAACAACAACAGAGACAGATTTTCATGAAGTCGGGGTTGTATTATATTTCCTGGGGTTCAGAGACTGGCCTTAATAGCTATTCACACCGTCGCCTTGCTTGTCACTGGGTCAGTCCGAAGGGGAAGGAATTTCAGAATTAAAGCGTAACATGCCGGCCTGCTTGCTATTTAGTGGGCAGACATGTAAAACTAGTAAATAAACGTACCTTGAGGGCGTTGATGTAAGAGAGATTGAGGTCATGGAGACCAAGACGCAGTGGGACGATGAGCAAGAGCGGACGCCAGAATGGTTCCAAGGTGTCAAATTTGGACAAGAAGCTACCAAGTGAGGTGTTGGGAGAAGAACCGGCCTCAGCCAGCATCGAAGAGATGGAGGCACTGCTGCTGGTGCGTGTAGGTGAGTCGTCGGTGCCCTTAGCGCGGGCAGCTGGAAGGGAATTGACAGCTTCCTTGGAGGGCTGCGTCGGACTGTCCTGGTTACCAGCGTGCTTCGCAGTCTGCTCACTGCTGAGGTCCAGAGTAACAACAGGAGGGAAGACTATCTCCACACAGTCATTATCCACATCCTTGCTGACTGGCATACTGACGGCACAGATCCTGAGGATAAATGAGGAAGAATAAGTTTATGATTGAGAACAAAATGAACTTATGCTACATAAGAGGAAGTTCTTAAATCGTGTATTAATATACGTCTTAAGGTGGTTCGAAACTTGTCAGCCCAGGGGAAGTCCCACAAGCGTCATAAACCTAGACAAAACTACCAGAACCCAGATCGCACTCCAAAAATGCTTTTAAACCTTAAAATATCTACTGCTTGACTGGGGGATCTGTAGGAGTCTAGGTCGTGGTTGTATTCGGATCATTACAATCATCAGGTCGAATCCCAGGTTGGAGGTAAAAGGCAACATTCACCAGAATTAGGGGTTTATTGTGTACAGAACCCCGACTGCAGTCTCAAGGGGCAGTGGCCAATGGCGAAGCCAGGGCTAGTGTTTGCTGCGTCCAACCAGACCTGAGAGAGTCGACTGTGTATTGTGTAGGGTGATAACAGTTGCTTTCACATGACTGTGAAGCGAGTTCAAGTGTTCTGTCATTGGTGTGCTGCAATTGCCGGAGGGGATTTTGCCCA